TTGTTCATGAGTTTGTTTCATACCAAAGCCACTTTCACTATATGGGAGAATGAGTTCATATAATTAGTCTATCATGTTACGGAAGGAGTCAATATTTATTACTAACCACTAATTCCATCTGCTTTAGGAAAATCATTCAGATTGTATCCGGATTTATAAGTAAATCTTCATCTTTTTTTCTTTTTTTTTATAAAAATATCTGATTCTCCAGAAAGCAGTAACATTCTTACTTCGGTCTCAGCAATTTTAAATCCTTCTCTTGCCACATCGACCCATGTATTTAATCATCCTGTTCTTACTTGATAATTCATTAACTTATGGGGTAGTTTTGCCTTGGCCATATAGATCACATAAAGCTGTGCATGTATTTCGTGGATTGGAATGAACCATAATTGTAGGAAATTTTATCACAAATCTTGAACATTTGCGGAACCAAATCCATAACCTAGTCCAGCATTGGTAACAAATTATGCAAATGCGATGAGATGTGATGACACTGTTGTATTTCCGAATGTTTTGAATGTAGTGAGGTTTTATATACGTTGTTCAACCTAGCTACATGTGTACATCAAAGTAAAAACTGTGTACACATTTTTTTAAATCCCTGAATTTACATTAGTTCACCTACTTTACCAAAACCATAGACTCCGTAGTTAGTCTATTCCAAAACTTGAACACAGCTCTCATCCTCAACGTACTCATCTATGACACAATTTTCAACCCGATTATAAAAAACTGTTATACCAATAAATGAATCTCATGTGTTCTTTCTTGAATTTAAAAATAAATGGTGATTGAAAGTAGGAAAAAAAAGGCAAGTGCCAACCTTACAATATGTATAAGCTAACCCGATAAGGAATAGTTATATGTTCCTTTGAAATTTAAAAGTCACACTTATTTCATAATTTAAAATTTTCTAAGAGCAATAAAACATAGATTTTTGAACAAAACATTTAAAATGTATCATAAATTCATCATTTAGTTGAAACTATAAAAAACTTGCCATGCAGTGGAGAATCCATTTAAAATCATAAATAATAATGTAAACATTTAATTTTGACAGTTTCAGTAGACCTTTGAATACAATTTTAATATTAACAGCTGGTTCATTAAAAGTAGGGTAAAATTATCCATATGGTCGAAATGTAAACAAAATTGCAGAGTGGACTTTAAAGGCCTCTGGGGCAGAGCCCCAAGGAAAGTTACATCGTTTCTCTTTTGAGGGCTCACCTACAGACCAATACCTTTCTTTAGACACCCCTACCAAGTTTCTACGCCCAGCCGTTCTCTCAAATTAGCTGTGACAAAAACCTCGTTTTCCTCCATAAGAATAACATGGGATGGGAATTTAAAGGCCACTGGGGCAGAGCCCCGAGGGAATTTTCCATGTTTCTCTTTTGATGGCTCATCTACAGACCAGGATCTTTCTTTAGACACCTCTACCGAGTTTCTACACCCAGCCGTTCTCTCAAAATAGCTGTCACAAAGAAAAACAGTTTCAAATTAATATAGATTGTCCAGGGTCAGGTGCTGACTTGATGAGTTAAGCCTATTACGCGCCACTGTTCTGTAGCTACGGTCGTTATCACGATTACGCCTCCTGTCTATGTTTCGTTGTCGTCACGTCGTAGACATTTAAAAGAAAAAAACAACAATTAAACAAATTATATCTACACAAAACAACGATAAATGCACAAATTTGAGATACAACCATACTAACACGATCCGTCTTGGGGGTTATGTTTACACAAACTCAAATACTGTAGTAAATAAATGTACTCAATGCGTTTCATTGAATTGAAAAATAAATAACAGCAATTAAATTATACAGCTGATCAAAATGTAAACAATTGTGTTCTCTATAAGGATAACATGGGAACTTTCAAAGCCAATGGGGCAGAGTCCAAGGGACTTTTTCAAAAATGTAAGGCCAGTTTGCAAATCTACGCGACACGCTCTTTCCAATGAGACGTCAATGGATAAAATCGGTTAAGAAATGGCGGAGGAGTTCAACCGACAAAGTTTCATGTAGCGTATTAATTATATAGATTTAGTAGATGGCGAGAAAATAATCTGTAATGAGTTTAATAATTATTTCTTATCAATTGTTCATAAATTAAATATAAATGCATCGAGACCAACTACTTTTGATCTATGTAGGCCTAATGAAAATAGATGTTTTAAGACAGACATATCATCTAAGTCAATATTTTTAGATTATGTAAATTCAGAAGATTTAATTGGTGTAGTTAAGTCTTTAAAAAACGGAACTTCTCCAGGATTAGGTGGTATTAAAGTTTAAGTTTGTTTTCTAAACGATTGAAAATATAGCTTTTATTCAATGAAAATATAGATTTTCTTTTAAAAATCCAAGCATAATATTTTAGTTTCTTATATATGGACAGAACTGTTGTTATTTAATTAAAAATTGAAAAAGTGTTATTATGTTGTGGCATTCTATTTAGAAATATTATTGGTACTGTGTTTTATGTTCATTAATATGTTAGTACTTTCGCTCTGACTCCTTATTACGAAGTTAATTTTAAATGATTGAACCTCTATACAGAGGTCCTATATTTCCAGGATGCTTGTATTATAATATAATGTTAATTATACTCTTTGTATTAGTTGTACATTTTTAACTGTTGTAAATTAAAACTGTAATTATCTGTAGCATTTTTGGAAATAAAGTATATTCTATTCTTATGTTCCTAACCGGAGACTTTGGTTGGGACCCCTAACTTAAAAATGCATAAAATAGAATATATCGTAGAAATAATTTAATAATGCTAGAATACGTGTCGCACTGGTTGGCGTAAAAAACAATAACATATAGTTTGTTTTTAATTAGCTGTTTGTTTAAAATAATATTCATTTGAAAAAAGAACTGGTCACATGTTGAAGGAATTTAAAAAGTAAACACGCTAGTAAAGCTAGTAACGTAATTATCTATGTTAATAATCCATACCGTTATTAGTTCTAATATCTGTAATAATTACCTACCTGAATCAACCTACATCGTAATTTCCCATATTAATTTATTAAAAGTATAAGATATTTATAGTTGAAATAAAAGTGATATTTTGCCTACATCAGCGCCCCCAAACGCAACCACAACTAAACACACGCCAAACAATCTCTTTTTATTTCATAAAAAGATGGTTTGTCTAATTAATTGCAGTATCCTAGGTCAATTATGCCGCTGTGTTCAATCTATGTCATCCATCTGTTTATCTTTGGATAAAACCCGGCTGAGGTTGTGGTGGTAATTTAAAATCGTGATTACCGATTATTCTTGATCTCCTTTTCTATGACATCAATATTTCTGAGCCTAATTCAAACAAATTGTAAGCAGACTAACATTAATTATTTTAAACAAAAAGCTATCAAGATGAATTAATTAATACATCTAAATATTGTTATTTTCCAACTCATTCCTAAAAAAGTTGAGCAGTATGATTTGCATATCCTTTTCTTTTAAGACTCGTGTACAGAACCTCGATTTGTATTACAATGTATAGCAATGGTTTTACTTATCTCTGTGGTCTGTAATATTTCATTTCATTTCATTCATTATTTAGTATTAAGTTTTTTTTTTATGTTAACTTTTATTCATACACCTAATAATCACTCCTCAGAAAGACTGTCCTAATATTCATTTTCCTAATTTATATAATTTCATTAATATGTTCAATTAATCATTAATAATATTCATTTCATAGCCTATATTTTTTCAACAACTTTAATTATACAGAAATGTTCATAACACAGTAAGTAATTCCATTAGTTGCATAAGCTTTTACGTGAGTCTTTTTAATTAATTGAAAATTAATTCTGTTATAACTCTTAAAATAGCTCCTGTAATAACGGACAATTGCTTGATTTCTAGCAACGAGTACACAAGTTAAAAATTCAACAATGCATTAACATAATAAGCTCTCTTTCACGCTGCAAACAGCAGAAGTAAGGAAGAACGGCAGAACGGCGGTATTGGTTTACCATACACGCCTGCAACGATGCGCTGCAAACCGCGCGACGAGTAGCTAAATGAACCGTAGAGTAAGTGAGCCTTCTAATATTTGTAGAGGGTTCACTTACTCTACAGATCATTGTGCCAATGAACTGTAGAGTAAGTGAGCCGTCTTCTATTTGTGCAATAGTTATCATGAAATAGGCTCGTATAGTATACGAGCCTACTCCTGTAATTTATTTAAATTCAATATTTTGGCTCGTATACTATACGAGCTTATTCCTGAATTATTTAAGAATTCATACGCTTGGCTCATAGGCACAATGATTTGTAGAGTAAGTGAACCCTCTTCATTTATTTTTTATTTTCGATAGGCTCGTATAGTATACGAGCCTGTAGTGCAAGTGAACCTTCAATATTATTTACGAAGCTCGTATAGACTATGATTTGTAGAGTAAGTGAGCCATGTGTTTTAAGAATTACATATTTGGAGGCTCATTGTGTCAATGATTCGTAGAGTAAGTGAACCCTAACCAGATCAGCGTCGGATCTCCATCGGTCCATCACCACTTCTGAGGCTGCACAGTCACTATTTCTTAGTCTAGGTCACCTTGTTCTTCTAGACCTCTTTGCTCAGAATGGGGAAGGCCACACGGCTAAGGCTGTCTGTAGTGTTATAACCAAGCAATCAAGTTATAAAGTACAAATCATGAAACATGAACGTAAAAATTAGAAAAAATACATTCTCTTAAATTTACGCTCTGCGTTGCCAGCGTAAAGTTAGTAGTCTATACGAAAAAAAGCCAGATTCCAGAAAACTTTCATTATGCCTCCCATATGGTCCTTTCTTTGATTATACATATATATAATCAATGACCTAATTTCATTAGAACTACTCTTTTCCTATTTCGTTTTGTTTATTAATATCATATGTGAATGTGACAATAATTTAGTAAATACGTAACGTGTCAGCGTTTTCTTTCTGCTGCCAGCCATTGCCAATTGCCATTATTTTGTTGTTGGCAAAACATTCAAGAGTAAACAAACTTGGAACATAACTTAGTGTAAATGTTTGCTCCTTTAAGTGTTGTGTTATAAAGTAAATGACGTAGGCCTAAAATATATTTTATCGAGGCTAAAATAGCAAATTACTTATATCTAAGTTTTAACACACGCGACTTGGTTTCCACGAAAGAGTGCACTCCTGATTCCTAGGCTTTCTCAATGCTTAACCTTAACATTATCATAAATTATCTACTTAACCATTAATGTTTGCTTTTTTATAAGACTGTCGTGAACAAATTATCAATGAATACCAAAAGAAAATTCGACAACAGAAACTCAAGTGGGAGGAATTACAACAATTTCAATGTTAAAACAAATAGCAACTATTTAACCTTAAATGATGATGACAATACTGTTCAATGTAAACGAACTGAAATTATTCGAGATGGAAGAAAATTTCCAGTTTTCCAAAAACCTTCAGTGATTGGTGTCTTCAGTGTTGATACAAACAGAAAGTTTCTTCCTAATGAAAGTCAACTTAAGTACTTGTTTTGGTGCAAGTCTCGTCAAGGAGGTCTTGCTAGCAAAGTAAATTTTAATTTAAATGAAGGTATTGAAAAATGTGTTCGTAAAGATGAGTTGCTCAACGAGAAACTAGATCATATATTTACCTGGATACAAGCAGAAGGGAATCAAAAAGAAGAATTTCAAGTAAGTTATGAGACAGTCACAGATGTGAAAAATCTCAAAAAATCAATCTTTCTTAGGCCTAGGCCCATTATAGGTCGGCCGCTTAGAAAACGACCTGCGCAAAGTTTTTAGCGCATGTAGGGGAGGTAACGGCGAGGAAGGGTATGTTCCCCCTCGCTGCCAATGGCCGTTTTCATACTACACGATAGACACCGGAACGGCGCTGCCCCGGTGTTGTGGGAGTTGGAATCCTGTGTTACCAAATGAAACTGCGTACACAATGATATAATAACATTTCATGATCCTCAAATATTGATGCGATTTAGGCTATACAATATTTTTGCAGGACCTATTTTTCTCAAGTTATGAAGAACGTACCGTCGGTAATTATTTATATTTTGATCAGCTGTATAATTTAATTGCTGTTAATAAGTTATTTAAGCTGCAATTCAAAGAAGGTTGGGGGTGGCAGCAGCAGAGTGGAGTAAGAGCCATAGTCTGTCTCACTCTCGCATCCCGGTACGGTATCTCTCTCTCACCAATGCTACGAGGACGCTTTCTAACCGGCCGACCTATAGTTTTTCTTACATTCAAAGAAGTGACACATAACTACAGAGTAGTAACTTAGCTTGTAACTAAAGTAGGCCTATTAACTTACTTTTTTGTCTATATGGAAGGCAGTAGCTCCCAACCATGATGTACAGCCATAACTTAACTTAAAACCAGACCAGTCAGTCGGGATCAAAGTTGATGTGCAATGATAGGATATAGTAGGGGCCTATGTAATTTCTCCGAATTTCTGTTATGGGAGCATTTCCATATCTGCTGGCACAAACGAACGAATGAAAATATCGATCGATATATCAAACTAAACAACTAACAAAGCGTGCATGGATAAGTCTTTAAAAAGTAAACTTAATCAAACTTGGTTGCACAAAAATGGGAGAAACATTATCACCCCAAAAACTAACTTAACCCTTTACGGACGGGTGACGGATATATCCGCCTAAGTCTTTGGCGTTAAAGGACGGGTGGCGGATATATCCGCTTATGGTTTTTGATGTTCCGGACGGGAAGCGGATATATCCGCCTTCTCTTTAGACTGGCAGGTGCATGAGCAGTAACCAGATATTTCGCGGTACCAAGGCGCCACTTTCCTGCTCTCTGCATGGCTGCACTCCCCCCTCTCTCCCACCCCTACCCCTCTCCCGCGCGCCACCCCCTCTCTCGCGCACCACCCACCTCTCCTATGCTGCCCCCCTCCACGTTTCGTGCTCAACACTGCATCTTTATTTATTGTTTACATACCTATTGTTCTTAATTTATTGCCTAACGTTGTCATGGTCATATCTTCGAAGACGGGTGGCGGATATATCCACTGCTTTTCTACTCATCCGCGGACGGGTAGCGGATATTACCGCATAGTTAAAAACGAGTAAACAATTATTTTGACAGTATCAAGTAGCCTATTCCATTGTATTTATTTTATGTAGGCCTACGGTAAACTTGTACCTATAACAAAACACAAATAAGGAAAATTAATCTTTATTTTTTCCCGTTCTATGTCACGATTTTGCCCGTCCGGTAAGGGTTAAGTTACATCTTATGACTTTTTCAATGATAGGCTACCTAGTTGTATTTTTACGAATAAAGATTTCTTCTTATTATTAAGTTAATAAGTTTTAAGGTGTACAACCTTTTACTAATAACTCTCACAAGGAGCCGAATTTAGGCCTAATTTGTATGTTTTTTTTCAGACAGCTGATTTTGTGTGTTTCCGAGGTCTTCTGACCACTATTATGTGTACACCTTACGAGCAGCAAGAAGGCTGGATTATTTGTGCTACGAGATTGAAAAATACAAACTTTTTATGTGCCTTTGACACTGAAAAGAGGAAGAGAGAGAAAGAAAATGTTTCAGACAGACTAAAACAATTTCAGTCTTGGGGTTACAAGTTCGAACAGTTTATGTTGGCTGGTATGTTACGTTTGGTTATTAAGTCTGTACGGGGCTTAGGTCATAGAACAAGACAATAATTATGAGGCTAAAAAATGACCTAAGATAAAAAAAATATAAGCTAGGCCTAACTTAGGTTTAAAAAAAATCTAGGCTAAAAGAACATAACAAATCCAACCTACGTGAGAGTTTATTGTTTTAAATCCTCAACATTCTTTAATGACCTTCACAAACAAGAAAATTAATTAAGAACGAAACAAATTTTTGTTAGGCCTAGACACAAATTGAAATTTTACTAGGTTCAGGTATTCCAGCACTAAATAATTAAAGTTAAAAAATAAATTAGGTGGATAGTGACTTTACAAAATTAAATGTAATATAATACTTTTTAAAAGAGTCTTTTAAACCCAATGGCTTAGTCTAGGCCTACAAAATCTATGTACTGGTGCCACAGTGAAGCTAACAAATTTTGTTAATTAGTACTGCCCAGGATTGGTACTAATAACAATCAAATAACTTTTTGATTCATAATAAGTTACATGATATTTTATTTAGATACAATTTTGGTGAAAGTAATAATTTATCACATTACCGGTACTAATAAAAATTATACTGTAAATAGTTATGAAATCACTCGATCGATCCTAAGGCCCCGTCCTAGCTGGGCGGCAAGAGTGACGGGTACAAACACATGATAAGTAATGGGAGTGTCCTAGCTGAGCAGCAAGAGTGACGTTGTGCCCGTTGGTTACGCAAAATACAAATGCAGTATGTTTGTATTTGGTAGCGCTACCCCGGCGACGCAACGGATCGCCATCCACCACAGCTGCCTCAGTCCATGGCGCGTCGCCCTGTCTTGCCACATATTTTGCCACCTACATACATACATACATCCTTTGCCATAAGGAATTGGACAGGTCAGGGTTTATACAAAGAATAACCAACTTAATACTAATTTTTGTCACCGTCTAGTAATTCTTGCTGTCCAGCTAGGACTGGGCCTAAGCTAGTTGGTCATAGGTGAACTCAAACCGTACTCAAATGTTAGTAAAGTGGTGCTCTTTTCTGCAGAAGAACCTGGTCAAGAACCAGACACGTCACATCCAGTGTTGGAGACTGAAGAGTTGTGCTGCATTTTCCGAAGCAAGTTGAGCGGCAACAGTTTAGTTTACGCTGCGGAGATGGACGGCGTGTGCAGTGATGAGCCTGTGGACGCAGCGGGGCTCAGGAGCATGAAGGCACCGTTTATAGAACTCAAGACCAGTCGTCACATTGAGACTCAGCGTCAGGACACAAGCTTCAAGCGGTATGATTTAGGCTACCTAGATTTTAAGAGCTGAAGTAAACTCGTAAATAAAACCTGCCATCAATGTTAAATTAGAGTATATTCAAACAAGGATAGTTTAGGCCTACTACTTAAAATAAAAATACATAAATTTTTGTTGGGACATTTGAATGTTGACTATGGAAGAAATTACATTAACCCATTGACACTAACTTTTTATGGTTTCTATATTAATGTATAATTTAATGTAGGTTATGTGGATTTCACATGTCTAAATAACATATACTAAATTAATATGTCAATGTTTAAATGAAATAATATTCCTATTCTCCAACTCTATGCTAGTGTTAAAAGAAGCAAAATTGATTTGAGCAAGCTTCAGTAAACTCACTTTGGTTTAATAAAAAAAAAAAGTCAGTAACTTTTTACGGTTAGTAACTTACCCAGCTGTTCTTGATAGTTGGATTTTAACTTCCACCTAAACCAGACACCTTTAATCTAAGTCGCTCAACAACTAGCTAAGTTGTGCACATACCTTGGACTAATGGGAATCGAAACTGCCAATGTAGAACAACATCAGAGGTACGTCAGTGCAACTAGTTGGTTATTTAGTCTCCAGTTACTGTTGGCTGGATGGTAGAGTTCTGCTTATGTCTGAATGCAACACTAGCGTTTGTGTTATGTGAGATTTATTGAATTAAGCGCCAGCTACTTATTAGCTTGTTTACACTGTAAAATGCCTAGACTAGACATACTTGTTACATCAGTTAACTGTTTATTTCATAAGTTGTCTGCACTATATTCTGAATAAAATGTTAGCTTTTAAGCAATAGTTTTTAACATGTCTTATGTAATGTCATCGTGGGTAAGAATGAGTTAGAATAAGGACGTAACCCCCTACTGGCTCAAGATGAAAGTTTGGGAAATTAAATGAAGTTGTACAATTAAAATATTTTAATCATAATCAGTTTATTTTAAGAGTATAAATTATCCTTGTTTAACCAAAGGTTTTATCTTTTTTAACACCCGTTTGTTTTGACTAACAGATACAAGTTGCTGAAATGGTGGTGTCAAAGTTTCCTCGTTGGCATTGAGACGATTTACTGCGGTTTCCGAGATGATGATGGCATCGTTTCTACTGTGAAAGAATACAAAGTGAGGGAGATACCTAAAATGGCCAAGGTTAGTGATTTTTACTTAACTCCATTTAGGCCTCAGGTACAATGTGTTTTTAAACATAGTCTATAAGTTACAGCTATCAAACGTTTTAAATTTTATTGTTTGAAGTGATTTTTAACTTCATTTTTATCTTGCAGGGTTTCTGGGACCCTTGTGTCTGTATGAACTTCTGCGCCCAGTTCTTGGACTTTGTGAAGCGATGTATAAACGAAAGTTCAAGACCGAATGCATTGTGGAAATTTGAATGGAATCCTGGCAGTTCTATCACGGGCAAGGAAATCAATGGGCAATCTGAGTTTTCATTTGTGCCTGATTGGTATTTGAAATCAGAGTCATAAAACAGTTAGCATGTATTGTAAAGTGAACATTACAAATGATTTAAGAACAATTCACCACAAAGGCTGTGTTCATATCAAGAGCTTGAAGCATCAGAGTATGTTATTTTTTGTTAAGTTTTTGTCAATAAAGACAGTTTTATTTTAAGTAAGTTTTAAGGTTAGGTTGAACATTTGAACAATGTTGTTCCAAAGGAACAAAAAAACTGAATATAAACTGAGACATAATTTTAATAACAAACTTGTTTGGATCAGTTCCTATTTTTCTCTTTGATTCAATGTAGGTTATTCATCAGAGATGAATTAGAAAATGATTTAGCTTAAATACCCTAGTGGGTTCAGTTAAGAAAACACTAAAATACGAAAATTAAGTAACAGCATGTAGTCTTCATAGACTTTAACCAATAGCAAATATAGCCTACTATTTATATTATGAATGTAAATTGGATAGTTGAGAAAATGTTGGAACTTTACTGCTATAAAATTAGTTATGTACAAATAATTGCTAGGAAATATTTTTCACTTCACTTTTGCCCAGATATTTAATATCACAGTATTTAAAAATCAACGTTTCTTCACAGTTCAACTATTCCACAGTATATTTTTGTGCCATTTCAGCAATTTCCAACTTCGAGTAAAACTGGTAAAGGGTAACCTTATTTAAATTTTAGCACTATATAAAAAAACATTGTCGGATCACAACTTTAGTACAAACAGATTTTTTGTTGTTTTTGTTAATATTTTAAAAGGAGACCATGTATATTTATTTTTAACCATTTGATGTAAGATTGCTTTTAAAAGTGTAGGCTGTAAGCATGATAGACATACATTGCATTGTTTTATAACAATGACCAGTTTTATATGTTTCTAATCCTTCATTACTTTATTTGTTTTTGATTCTGTATTCATTTGCGGTGCAGGGCTAACCATATTTGTATGGTATGTAATGGTTGTAAAACTAAACAGTTAATAAATTATTTTTATAAGAAAACATGATTGTTTTTTTACTAGTTACATTATCTTGCTTCACAACATAACAAAGACACAGGAGAGAATAATGTTGTTCTTTAAATCAATTTTAGAAAATATAGGTTACACATCTACCACTGATCTCCAAAACAACTGAACTGTAAGTTACCGCTTAGTTAACGGCACAATTGAAGAACCCTCTTTCCACATTTATACCTTTTTAGCGAATTTCCCTATAGGGAAGTAGCTATTACCGTAGGTGGCACGGTAAGACCTAGACCCGGGACCGATTTACTTTTTCATTTTGATGTCCCCAGAGGCCAAAAACACCATTCGTTCAAATTTTTATATATGTATATATATATATAGACATATATATATATATAGACATATATATATATATATATATATATATATATTTATACGTCCGTGAACGCGATAACTTGAGTAATTTTTGTCCGATTTTGATGAAATTTGGTTTAAAGGTGTAAAGCGGGATAAACTTGAATGAGTTCGCGAACCAGCACGATCGGACCATGGGAACGGGGATTTACGTTTTATGGGGTAAAAATTGGTTTTTCTCACTTTTGACCCTCAAAACACAAAATTTCCCGATTTCTCTTTAGACCTTTTTAAAGAGCTTAAAAAAACAAATAATTTAGTATATAAAAGTATTTTTGTTCGATTATTAGTAACGAAGAAAATTAAAAAATTGTAAATTTAAAATTCCCATGTTATTCTTATGGAGAATAATGTCAAATCTTGTAGTTTGCTTGTTTATGGATATATTTTGATCACACTTGGCAAATTTATTTATTTTGTACTAAGCTATCAATATTTTACTCAAAAACACACTTTATTAGTTTCCTTGTAGCAGCAAACCTAGGTACTCGTTAAACCTAATGTTATTAAAATATATTTAACTGAAAATCAATTCAGACAAATGGAAATTCGCTTAGTCAGCAGGTTTGCTGCGGCGGGGGTATTTTTACTAAGTTTAGTTCTTTAGTTATATTTTACAAACAAAGCTTTGTAGTAGTTCCCTTTTATAAATAAATAATTAAACTTATTATTTTACTAGTGGCTTGTAGGGGCAATAGCCCCTATATTCTAGTAATTATTTTGTACAAATTATTAGTCTCATGGGTTACCCTACCTTGAATTATTATTTAACATTTTTGTATATTATGATATGTATAATGGTTATTACATACCCGCATAATGCATTTTGATGTCTGCTCTGTTTGAAATAAAAATTCCAAAGGACTGTTCATGCGGTGTGTATATAATATAAGCTTTCTAATCATAATACAACTAAGGAGCATTTTCAATAACAATCTTCATGACTATTAATTAAATCTATATAGATTTCTTTAAATATAGACAAAAACACATTGAGATAATGTCATCATCCAAATTGTAAAATGCTAATTTTGTAAGAAAATCTCTCTGAAACAATGTTGTTTAGTATCTTTGACTATTAATCAGGGCTGTGCGAATAGTTCGAAAAACGAATCGAATCCGAATCTTTTTAGGGATTTGGATTCGGATTCGATATTCAAATTTACTGGTAAGAGATCCGGGTTCGGATTCGAGATTCGAATTTCTTGGAAATAGATCCGAGTTGGGATTCGATATTCAAATTTACTAGATTCTGATTGAATATAATTTTCAATATAATTTTTTAGACACTAAAAAACTATTTGTGCACTCCGATTTGTTGTTGACTGGTTCATGTTAGGAATCTGACCAACTTGGTGTTAGGCTTTAGGCACATTAGTGTAGGTCGCATTTGAACCCTATCTTGGCTATCAGTAAACTTAACCTCACAGTGTTAGTTGTTACTTGTAATAGTAATGCAGACATAGGCTTGTGTGGAGGATTAACACCGAGGTGTATAATAGGCTGGGCCTATGTTTTAGACTACACAAATTGGTAGTCCATCACTTTAGCGAGTAACTTAGGCCTAGGTGGTATGCCTAACTTATGCCCAATTTTTTAGTTTCAAAACTTCAAATAGGTAGGCCTAAATTTTATAACTTTTTTATTTGGCCCATTTCAAGAATTTTTTTAAGCAATTCCCTAAGTTATTTCAGCCCCAGAAAATGTGGTCTAAAAATGTGAAAATTGGTACTGCAGACTTTCCTCGGATTTGGATTAGACTCTGAACAGGTTTAAAATGTTTAAATATTCGGATTCGATAACAGCTTTAAATTTCAGATTCGGATTCGATCCAGGTTCGATAATGGCTGTAAATTTGAGATTCGGATTCGACCCAGATTCGACTTGGGATTAATTAAAATATTCGGATTCGATCCGGATTCGATAAAATCTGTACAGCTATGATTCGGATTCAGATTCGAACCAAAATTTCTGGATTCGCACAGCCCTGCTATTAATACAACAACATAGTATCCATTTTAGTCGATTCCTTGGTCTTTATTTGGTTCTAGTACTATTAACATCATCTGGCCTCCACCCATCTAAAAACAACATAAAGTTGACCATAGGTAAACACTGGGTTTTTCAGATAAATGCCAACTTTTGTGAAGGTTCGGCCTTGCGCCACAATTTCACCAAATCAAATTGCGCAATGCACCACAATGAATGCACCCATCCATCGTTCATTGGTAATTCACTGTGTAATGCAATCTTATTTAAAAGTGGTAATCTATACACAGGAATAAATTCATGTTCATCCGATGCTAATTTATTCTTCTTCCATTAATATCGTGCCAAATCTGGCGCCTGTTGTTCTCATTTCGAGGAACAATACCTCTGCGTGGTAGTTTTCCGACATTATACATTATCACTGTGCAAAAGAACAATGCATTTTAAAGTAATAAGTTTAGAAGTATCAAATTATTTGTTTAAAAGATTTTATCTAATTTTCACTCTTTGTGTTGTTTACTACTTCACTAACAATTTTACAATAACAAAATAATGCACATTCAGTTTTGGTTATATTTTTTCAATTTATATAATCACATCTGTGTTTGCACTAAATACAAAGACATAAAATTAGATTCACATGCTATTTTAATGTGAATTATTTTATCCCGTAACAACCTTTTGGTGCACAATTAAGAAAAATGAATAATTTTCCCCAAAATTTCATGCCCAGACCTTTAAAATGAGACCTCTTCAGGCTTTCTACGTCCTCCCGTTCACTCACAATTTCATTGTAAAATTTTGGGCTTACAGAATTAGATATATAGATGGAAAGATTGAAGTTTTAATAATAAAGCACATTGAACAATAGTGTATTTATTAAAAAATCTGTACAAATGTACAAACATGGTGTTGTACTATTTTTGCTTATAAATACAGTTTATAACACTACTTTACCAAATACTTACAATAACACACAGTCATTTCAAATTTTAAAATTCTAGCAACTCGACTATTATTTAATTGTCCAAAATATTTTCTGTAAGTGACAAAATGTAGAAAAAGCAAAGTAAAAAATGCAATTACTCTTACATTACAGCTCTTACATTACGTAATAACTTAGGTAATAAATAATTAAATGCCAAATATTTTACCACAATTTTATAAATTAGTTATTGAAGACGAACAAAAATGTATCTTGATGTTATCAATAGTTTTAAAATTAGGCCTAGTTATACAAGTATAAAATAAACACAAAGAACAAAGTACTATTAAATAACCTAAATGTAAAGTACACTTAACGAAGAACATCGGGAAATTGTTGCATGGTAGGAAATTGCTTAAGGATTTAGAAAAAAAGACTTGATTTAAAATAAAAACGTAAGGATAGCTTTTTATCAACCATACAGTAAACTAGTAAACACAATAATTGTTGTTATTTGCGTTGTTTAAGCCTTAGTATTTAAGGAACATGTTAAATAATAAAACTTAATACATCTCTTTAGGTACGAAGTAACAATTAATGTAACTTATCTTAAACAAAAACTTATATTCAATGTTGCCTTGCCATGACACATTAAACACAGCTTAAATTGGTTTGCAGGTTTAAACTGTGTCCGAACATTGCGTAATTATTGCAGCAACAATTCTATTTTCTCACTTATTCCTTTTTATTCTGGTTCTTTTCCGTTCATTCACTACCACTACTTTTATATTGCAATTCTAAAATTTTTAACAATTAGCCTAGTCTATGAATATATCAATTATAAAATGGAACTGTTCTAAACTAACCTAACCAACCAAACTTGCAGATTATGAAAAAATTCTGATAGTGAATAAACGGAATTGCAATAAAAAAGTAGTGGTAGTGAAATAACAGAAAATGAGCGATATTCTTACTTTATTCCAGAGGCGGCTGGTCAATGAAACCTCTATGATGGCTCGCCCATTCACAATATAGCAACAAAATGCACATTTTAAGTGTTCAACCAAATACAACAGCCTATTTTTTTAGTGCTTCCAAAATTTAGGACCATTTCCACAATGGAGAATTAGCAGACGCTAGGATGTTAAGCTAGTAGGCAGGGGTTTAGATCTTAACCACAAAGTTTTGACGCTCAAATAAAAATACACCGATCACAACGCTGCCTTTAAGATTTAATGCTGCAATTTTAGACAGTACGGTAATGTTAAAGAGTATGTTTAGAGTGTGTGAACTGTTGTGTTCGTGTTGACTAACTATCAGTAAAAAGCAATTTGATTGGGTTTTTGTTTTAACAAACATAACAAAAATTAAAATGTGTCAATTAGATGCTTTTGTGAGTCTTATCATTGCTTATAACAAGTAACATGTCCAACCGGTCTAGATTATTGATTCTTTTGAGCATTTGAATAGGGGTTTTTAACTGACCAGCCGCCACTAGTTTGTTCTAAGAAAATTTGTTAAATTTATAAAATCTCAAATTCAATCTGCATACCTACTTTATCTGTATAACTATTGGTGGCAAGGCATAGGGTGTTAAAACACTTTGTTTGAATTGAAACTCAAAAATACAAACACAAGCTTTACTTGGGCTAAATAAATGAACAAATCTCCAGTGAACACTGTACTGTGAC